ATGGCATGGTTGGTGGAGTTCAGATGATCTGCCAGAGGAAAGGGGCACTCTCCGTGGCAGTAGAAGGCACTATAACCCGGTGGGGCAACTATCCAGTCATTCCACCCGACATCGTTGAAGTCCACATACAGCGGATGCCTTTTACAATTGGATTTATGGCGTTTGCGTTGTTTGTGTTTCACCTGGCGCTTCTCTCGCTTATGGAGAGGCTGCCCCTTCCCGTCATGCCCAAAGGTTACTAGTAGCGGCCTAACCAGAGACCAGCTCGCATTGTCCTGGTGCAAAGACCGGCTGATCCTGACGTGTCTCTTGGAGACGCTGCTGCTCTCATTGTCCAAATGGACCACTTCGACCACAAACCCATGATTCGGCTGTCCATGTGCAATCCACCTCATGATAGCGGGCGTGACATCAAAAGTTTCCCATCTGCTGGCATTGTGGTGCACCAAGCGAGTGTCCAGAAGTCTCGTGACCGGGTCCTGGGAACCTTCACTCTCCAGCTTGATTATTTCATAAATATTAATACGATGGTAAGAGCTGCTGTTGGTTTCGGAGGCACCTTCGAGGTGTTGCCGAAAAACCTGAAGCTCAGCCGAAGTGATAAACTCCCCACTCGGGATAGATGTCAAGTTAAAGAAGAAACGTCGGGATGTCCTCCCACTTCTTTCTGGAAGCTCTTCCAGAGTTTCTGTTTCGGGGGGGAGGGAAGCAAAACACCATCAGTAACTTAGATAAATAATTTTTAAAAATGAACTGCTGTATTACAGGCACCTTTCAAATTAACATAATCGTAAGCCAACACATGCTTACTTTAGGGATTTGAAGATTCCAACCACAACAACAATAAAAAAAAGGGGGATTATCTTGTCTTTTTAGACATTTAAGCCAGTGGATGAAACATGATGTTATAGTGCTTCATTCACTGTCATGTCTTTGGACCTGCGAATTCCAAGTGGCCATAATGAATTAAGAGGCATCACTGTGGAATTCAAAGGCATTAAAGGAAAAATTAACAGTGGTTGGCAGGGGATCATTGAGAGTAATTAAAAAGCGACTGAGGATCAAGGGAAAAAGGGATTGCATTTCTTTTGAATTTTTTTTAAAGCACTTTGCTATTGCTTTTATGTCAATCTCTCAGGACCCTCTTCCAGAAGTTCGTGAGTGACAGGTTTCACGATGTTTAAATTCCCTATCCAAAAATTCAAATGTGGTGTTAAGAGGAGAGTTTTACAGATACAGTGGACCGCCAAGAAGACAGATTAGGTGGGTTCGAGACCAAATCAAGCCTGAACTCTCCCTAGAAGCGGAAACTGACTAAACTGAGGCTACCATAATCCGGTCACATTACGAGAAGACGAGAGTCCCTGGAGAAGACAATAACGCTAAGAAAAGTTGGAGGCAGCAGGGGAAGCGGAAGGACCAACATGAGATGAACAGACTCGCTAAAGGAAGCCCCTGGCCCTCACTTTGCAAGACCTGGGCAAGGCTGCCAATGACAGGACATTTCGGTGAACATTAATTCATCAGGTCGCCATAAGTCAAAAGTGACTTAATGGCACTTAAACTCACAGATCCAAAATAATGGCTTGCGCCCCCTGCAAAACGCGGGTACAGACCTCCAGCTCCATCATGCTGTTCTTTGGGCTCCCCTGTTCCTCAGAAGCAGCATTTCAGGGATCATTTGGGGCTGGGGGGAGCAGGCAAGGCAGTTCCATGCCACCCCCCCCATCCTATTGGCAGAGATGTGTTGCAAATCCAGACCGATGTGTCTTAATCACACATTGCTTTTGCGCAAAGCGTACTCCCAAGCGGCAAATAATCAGGACCAGCCCTTGCAACTGTGGCTGCCCATGGGAACCAAGATCTAAAGAAAATCTCTAGCAGTGCAAACTTACGCAGAGTTACGACAGTCTAAGCTCTAAGCCTACTGATGTCCAGGGACTTAGACTAGAGCAGCTCCTCATAAAGCTGTTTTGTAAATTAGGCTGTATAGGAGAACCCTAACCCAGCAAATTTAACACCCCGCCACACACGAGATGTTTAAAGAGCGCGTGCAAAAAAACATCGACTAGCTGTGGCTAAATTTAGGCACACTGTGAATGAATGAACTGAACCTGCCACACTGACTAGCCAGGGTATTTATTTGGAAGTCTCATGGGTTTCACCGAGACGCCAAGAGAACGAGTCGAGGATTACAGTCATAACAGTTTCTGCTAGTGTCGCCTTGTGAAAGCCAGCCATAATTCACACTTCTCCTTGTTCTCCCGTGTCTGTAGGATGCCTAATTTCCTAGCCTCCCTATCCTTCTATCGTGTCAATCTAAA